CAGAGGTACCCTTTGCAAATATCTTCTCCCACTCGGTTGGTTGCCTCAAACGAACTAACAGAACATAGATAGATACAACAGAATGGTGGTTACCAGAGGGAAGGGGAGGGGGGGAGAAAAGGGTAAAGGCGGTTGAGTATACGGTGACAGAGGGAACTGGACTTTGGGTGGGGAGCATGCAATAGAGGATACAGATGTTAAATTACAATCTTGTACACCTGAAAGCTACATAATATTATTAATCACTGTTACCCCAATAAATTTAATTTTTAAAACGTTAAAAATTACCCAGAAGTACTGCTTTAGCTGTGGCCCTCAAGTTTTGACAAAGATATTTCATCTTAAGCATGTTTTTCACATTTTAACATCCCTGGAATTGAGATTGCATCTTATAGTCAGCGGCATGACGTGCTTCAAGTAGCAGCGTTCTCTCTCCTGTGTAGGTAAGATTAGGGTGCAGTTTTGCTCAGTGGCATCTTCAGTGTAGTAATACACTGCACTGTGTTTTCACTGTCTTCTAGCTCTAAGTATTTCATAATTTGTCTTCTGTGTATTTTCTTAAGCTCATGTTTAGTAATATGAAACTACTAAATAGTTTCCTGATATGAGGTGTTTTTAGTTATTATTTTGTTGTTAGTGTCTGATTTTATTACATTAAGGTCAGAGAATACAGTTTTTGTATTATTTCCTAAGAATTTGTTAGGACTTCCTTCTGTCCTTAGCCTTTCTGTGTCCTTTTATTTTAAGAATGTCTCTTGTAGACACACAGAAACACAGTGCTTTTTTTTTTTTTGCCCCTCCTTGTCCCACAGCATCTGCCGTGGTTAAACGCCTGGGCTCAGAAAGTCACCCTGAGTCACACCCCCAGGGCTCTGGGGAGGAGCAGCAGTGAGTGAAATGCTCTTGCAAGTGCTATGATGGTACCAAGTGAACAGCCAAACCTGCTGAACTCGGGGTGAGGGAGAGGCGTCTGACCCTGGCCTTGCTTTTGTAGGATACAGAGAGCAGTTTGCAGCAAAAGGATGAAGCCATCGCATCTTTTGAAGAAAAAATCAATCAAGTCATGTCCAGCATGAAACAGATGGAAGAAAGGTAATCCCTCCCCTGGAGATACTCCCTGGAATGGGCGAGGCATTCTCCGCGCCTGAGTCTCTCCTGGAAGAGCAGACAGGTGGGCTGGCTGCCCTTAGCCCGGGGCCTGCATTCACTCCAGTCCTCGCAGGGCAGCAGGGCTTTCCGGGGCTCGATGTCACTGTCACAGTTAGACATCAGGTCAGTAGCAGATCAGAATAGAATCTGAAAATAGACCCACAAATATGGGCAACTGATTTTCTACAAAAGTGCAAAGGCAGTTCCATGGAGACAGGATTGTGTTTTCAGTAAATGATGTTGGAACAACTAGACATCGCTAAGCAAAAAAATAACCTCAATCTATATCTCACACCTTTATATCAAAATGAACTCAAAATGGATCATAAGTCTAAATATAAAATTTTAAACTATAAAACTTTTAGAATACCTAGAAAGTCTTTGTGACCTTGGGTTGTACAAAGAGATTTTAGACATGATATAAAAGCATGATCCATGAGAGAAAAACTTGACAAGTTGTACTTCATAATTTAGAACCTTTATTCTGTGAAAGACACTGTTAAGAGAATAAAGCCCGAGCCGGTTTGGCTCATTGGATAAAGCGTCAGCCTGTAGATCGAAGAGTCCTGGGTTCGATTCTGGTCTAGGGCACGTACCTCAGCTGCAGGCTCCTCCCCGGCCCTGGGCAGGTGCATGCAGGAGGCACCAAACGACGTGTTTCTCTCACATCAATGTTTCTCTCTGTCTTTTTCCATCTCTTTCACTCTCTCTAAAAATAGATGGAAAAATATCCTCCAGTTGAGGATTTAAAAAAATAATAAAAAACAAGTTGCAGATTGGGAGAAAATGTATAAAACACATACAGGGTGGGGCAAAAGTAGATTTACAGTTGTTCATATGGAAAATAATACAATAATTAATAAAATGTAATAAACTATGTTTCATGTCCTCACAACTGTAAGCCTACTATTGCCTTCCCCTGTATCTGACAAAAGATTTGCATCCAGTATTTAACACTTTCAAACTCAGCAAGCAGTTCCAGTTAAAAAGGACAAAAGACTTGGACAGTACTTCCTGAAGAGGGTGTATAGATGGCAAGGGAGCAGTTAGGGCAGTGCAGGCTGAACCCATGCTGAGAGGCCTGTACACACAGCTGGATGTTTTTAATGACAACACCCGGTATTCGATGAGGCTGTGGAACTACTGGAGCCCTCGTGTATTGCTGGTGGGAATGCAAAATGGTACAGCCACTTTGGGAAAAGTTTCTTGCAATAAAGCTGAACAGCCCAGCCAGTGTGGCTCAGTGGATGGAGTGTCGGCCTGCACACTAAAGGGTCCCAGGTTCGAAGCACATGCCAGGGTTGTGGGCTCAATCCCCTGTAGGGGACGTGCAGGAGGCAGCCAATCATCATTGATGTTTCTATCTCCCTCTCCCTCTTTGAAATCAATAAAATTATTTTAAAAAATAATAGTAATAAAACTGAGCATACTCTTAATATGACCCAAAAGTACCACTTTTGGCTATTTGCCCAAGAGAATAAAAACTTATGTTCATACAAAAGCCTTTACACAAATGTATAGCAGCTCTATTCATAATTGCCCAAAACTGGAAGCAACCCAGAGATCTCTCATGAGGGAATGGATGCCCATTCTGGCCCTGAAATACTCCTCAGCCACAGAAACATGGACCGGTCTCGAAGATACTGTGCTGAGAGGAAGAAGCTAGTCTCCGAGGGGTATATGAATAATAATTCCATTTCTCTGGTGTCATCAAAAAGACAAAGCCATGGCGTCAGAGTTGCCAGGGGTCAGGGATGGGAAGGGGGGTTGCAGGGGACCCCACTAGAGAGTTTTCTCGGGGTTGGGTGGGGGGGGACTGCTGTGTTTCCTGGTGGCCGTGGTGATTACACAGTCTGGAGACATGCGTGCTGAAGCTCATAGAACTGGACACACACACAAATCAGTTTTACTGTCTATTAATTAAAAATGAAAGAAAAAACTATGCAGCAAGAATATGAAAAATTGCTACGTTGAATCGGAGCTTTGATCCTTTCCTTAAAAAGCTGTGGTTCTTCTGGTCCAGGTTGCAGCACTCCGAAAAGGCGCGGCAGGGCACGGAGGAGCGGAGGGGCC